CACTTGGCATCTGAAGAATTTCGTGATTTCACTCTTTCAAAGGCAGCTGAAGCTGCCACCTCTTCACCCTTGGGTTGGCCATGACATACATGCAAGAGGAACAGTGAAGTATGATTTGACTTATTTTGGACTCAGATGGTATCTTTCCTGAATAATTCTGCTGGTTGCTCTCTGGGTTACGAGGACAGTCAAATTTACAATCTTTATTTTAGAAACGATGCGTTTCAGTGGGTGCAATAGAGTCTCTGAGTCTTTCCTGGCTCAGGATTTCTTCTTTCCTGCAACAACTTTGATATTTTGAAGTAAATATTAGGGAACAGGAGACAATCATGTGGTGTCTAAAGGCATCCTTGAAGTGAAAAATGAGAATTTAGCTTATTTTTTAGTTCAGGAAATGTGCTGTACATTCAGTGAGTGGGGAGCTCTGCTGATGCTGGATCAGATGTTGAAAAAAACCCCATCTCTGCTGGTGCCACCCCAGAGATTACTCTCTGATTTTGAGGTCAAAATATGTAAAACACTTGAAGTGCCAGCGATTTTGTGGTAAAGTGTTGGAGCTGAGAACTTTGGAGCAGGGGGAGGTGGGAAAAGGCGTATTTTTTGTTGTCTTCCAGTTGGGCAGCCTCATGAGCAGTGCTGTGAGTCCTAATGAAGCCTGGTGTCCCGGGGGCTGGTGTCTCATGGTCGGCTGCTCCCCACCCCAGGAGTGCACTGCAGACCTGGGGGAGTGTTTTTCTGTGATTTATAGGGCTCTCTTCCATGCAGACCCTCTGGTGCCCAAGAGAGGAGAGGTTGACACTAGTCTTTCCCCAAGGATGAGAGCAGAGGAGGATCCACCACCCCCGTTCACCATCGGGATGATCTTTTGTGGCTCAAACTGATTTTCAGCCTGAATCTTCTGTGGGAACCCAGTGTCTCTTCCCTCTATCTCTATAAAATCTCTAGAAACACAAATTCACTTTTAAGATTGCTTCTGCTGCGTCCTATGTGGCGTACATACAATATGGTCAGATAAGTTATCAGAAAGCAACCACAAAAATGAAAAAAAATTGTGTGACAGCCAAAGCCTACACGTGTCAGCTTGATCTTTTAGTGGGTGGCTGCCTCCAAGCTGTAGTGCTACTGTTAGGGGAAAAGCAAAGATGACATGTGCAATTAATACTAGATACATAGATAAAGACATAGTGAGGTATGTATCAAATATGTGTAAATATATACATATAAAAATGTACGTATTTACACATATGTATTTATGTACACATAAATATTTCTGTAAATATTTAAATGTATACATGCATAAAAATAGATATATATTGGGATTTTCAAAAAGGGATACCTATATTGAGAGTGCTGCTGGGAGGACAGGCTAGGAGAGTTGGGGGGGTTCAGCCTGGAGAAGAGAAGGCTCCATGAAGACCTTAGAGCCCCTTCCAGTCCTCAAGGGGCTCCAGGAAAGCTGAGGAGGGACTCTCGATCAGGGAGGAGAGCCCTAGGATGAGGGGGAAGGGTTTGACACTGAAAGAGGGGAGGTGGAGATGAGATCTCAGGAAGGAATTCTTTGCTGTGAGGGTGGTGAGATGCTGGCCCAGGTTGCCCAGAGAAGCTGTGGCTGCCCCATCCCTGGAGGGGTTCAAGGGCAGGTTGGAGGGGGCTTGGAGCAACCTGGTCTGGTGGAAGGTGTCCCTGCCCAGGGCAGGGCATTGGAACTGGATGACCTTTAAGGTCCCTTCCAACCTGAACCATTCCATGATTCTACCTATCAACCTTAGAAGCCATCTGTGCTCATCCTGCCCTTCCTTGAGCAAGGGGAAGGAAAACGGTGCAGGTGGCTGTTGTGGAGGGTGGGATTGCTGATTCAGCAGCCCTACGGGAAGATGGAGCTACCAACTGTGAATGTTATTGTTTGGGAGAGGATTTGTTCTTCCTTTTAGAGCTTCAGCTGCCGATATGTGGTGATCACTCAAGAAAAAAACCTCAGTTTGTACTTAAGAAGCGTATAGATGTGCTCCTGGAACCAGCTGGAGGGTATGAGTCTGAAATGCTGGAAATCAAGAAGTAAAATGTACACACACCCGCCATGAATGCTTATATATTTTTAAATCCTGTGATTAAGGCAATTTTGTAACGTTGTCAGTTCTGATTATAAGAAAGCGGCATTTCTGGAAGAGGTGGGATCAAAAGCCCCTTGTTCAAAGATTTGAGCTCTCTGCTCGTCTCGGTGGCAGGTGAAGAGGCCACCATCCAGCTGGAGCAGAGCAGTAAGGATTTTTCTATTTCTGAAGGGCCTTTGAAATTGTGGTGGTATGAGACGCATCATTTTCTGAAGGTTAATGTTTCTGATAAACTCAGAAGGGACTTTGCAGTGGCAATAATTTCCATGTTTGGTGTATTAAGAAGTTACGTAAATTTGGACCACTTCATGGATAGATGTGGAGGCTGAAGGCAAGGGGGAAGGTGTCCTCTTGAAGAATGTTTGAAAATGGGTAGGAAGGGTCTCAGATGTAAGGAGGACACAAGGTCGTGTTGTCTGTGTCTCTGATGCTTGACATTAAGCCTGAGCCTTGAATTGGGTGTTAGAGAGCAGAGGGAGGAGGGACCCCAAAGGTCCCCAAAATGCTTCTGAAAGGGGTGATAGACTGGAAATTGGAGAGGACACATGTGGATGTGGGAGGCTGAATGAAACAGGTGTCTAAGCTGGAATGAAAAAAGTGGGTTTCAAGTGAGAACATGGGAAGGGATGCTGCAGACGGCGTGGTTTTGAGGGAAAACTTCTGTCCTTTGAGGATAAGAGCCCTGGAAGAGGTTGCCCGGAGAGGGTGTGGAGTCTCCTTCTCTGGAGACATTCAAAAACCCACCTGGACATATTCCTGTGCATCCTGCTCTGGGTGGACCTGCTTTGGCAGCATCATCTCAGGCCTGTGGGGATGGAGGGATGCTCCATGGTTACTCGCAGAACCTCATGGCTTCAAAAAGAGCTTTGAAAACTCACAGCAGCCGCGTTTCCTCTTTCACCGCCAGCTTTCAGCCCGCAACCCTCCCTTCCCAACACGTCGTCGAGCTGAAGTATTCATTAAGATGGGGAATTATTTGCATATTATTAGCATTATTACAGGGAAATAAAGCGGCGGCTGGTTCTTCCCTCCCTCCCATGTATCTTTCATCACCCGCCTTTATAACTGCTCTGAATCCTGTTTGTTGTGTGACAAACTGGGCTGATAAATCTCGTTACTCACTTGAATGGCTGGGAGAGACTCATTGCACATTACTGAATTTGGTGAATTATGTAATAAATGCGTAATTAAAATTAAACCCAGAGCCTCTTCATGGAACCTTACAAAATTCCGTTCGCCGTGAATTAGGGAGAGGCGTACGTGGGTATTAAAAGTTAAGCCTAATTATTTGGAGTTATTTTTAATCAATATTTAATATGCTACCTATAAGTTGCTGCGGAGCCCCAGCAAATCCGTGGCTGGAAAGGACAGAAAGTGAGTGCGTGTGTGTGTGTGTGTGTGTGGACTCAGATGTTTGTTTTCCTTCTGCTTCATATTTTAATATTTGATTACAGAAAGGAAAACTCCCCTGAGCACGACGTGCTCAAAAGTCTTCTTCAGCCAAGTGAAGTGACTGCCAGGAGTCTGCTTCGCCCCACTTCTTTCCCCCCTTGGTCACCTCGGAATATTTGCAGTTTATTGGAGGAGAATTGCAGTCGTGGGGCCCCGCTTAGTCGTTCACTCATCGAATTGTCATTAAAATCATTGCGAAAATTATTTCTGCATCCCCAATATCTTATTTAAAAAGGCAGCTGCCCGGTTTTGAGGGAAAACTTCTGTCCTTTGAGGATAAGAGCCCTGGAAGAGGTCCAAACTGCGGTCAGGTTTAAACTCGAGATACGCTAAAAACTTATTTTCTATGCGCCAAAATAGACTTCAGAGATACTTTTCCAACGCCTTGGAAAGAGAGGAGATGTTTTTCAGGCAACCGGTCTGCGAGCCCCCGTTTAATTTTGAGACGTTTGTCTCTTAAGTACGAAATTGAATAGCAGGGATTTTATTCCTCCCCCCCCCTCCTAAATCCCCGATTCTAGAGAAAGCAGCTTGAGATCGCGGTAAGAGAATTAACACGTGGGTTAAACTCACAATAAGAAGCGGTGCCGGGGAAATGCCTATTCAGATGCCGTTAAGGAAATAATAGGATTAGTTCTTGTCGTGTCAGCGTGGATTCCTCAAAGGGCTGCTGCCTGCTGACACCCAGCCCCTGCTCCTCGCTGGCCCGGCTGTGAAATCGAGGACAATGACAAGAAAAGATGATTTTATGTTGTTGTTTTTTTTTCTTGGAGGCCATTCGTTGGGATGTTTAAGCCGCGCACGTGCGGCAGGTAATCGGGCATGAAAAATAAATCACTAATAATCCCCCCCTCCCCATGTTTGGGACCAAGATGATCTTAATCGCTGAGCCATTTAATGTTCCGACGTATATATATTTCAATGTATATACATGATATCCGTCGTTTAAGATAAAGCATTTTTGTCTCTGTATTTTTATTTTATTTTTTCACAGTTCGTGGGAATTGTGTATATATTACATATATATATTTCAATGTGTATACATGATATCCGTCGTCTGAGATAAAGCATTTTTGTCTCTGTACTTTTATTTTATTTTATTTTTTCACAGTTTGTGGGAATTGTGTATATATTATGTATATATATTTTAATGTATATACATGATAACCGTCGTCTAAGATAAAGCACTTTTGTCTCTGTATTTTTATTTTATTTTATTTTTTCACAGTTTGTGGGAATTGTGTATATATTATGTATATATATTTTAATGTATATACATGATAACCGTCGTCTAAGATAAAGCACTTTTGTCTCTGTATTTTTATTTTATTTTATTTTCTCACAATTCTTGGGCACCCGGTATCCTGCAGCGGAGCTTTATTTTCAGTTTCTTGTGTCTGCCATTTCATAATCATCCCTGTGTATCTTTATTTTTAGCTTAAGCCATGAAGCGTTAAGGCTGAACTGGGGTTAATTTTGCCACCGCCCGATTCCGTCATAGAAGGTGCTGTAGGAGAATCGTCGCAGTGAAAAACTTCCACCAGAAATGGTAACGAGATAAAGAAAGGCTTCTCTTGAGCTCTCGTTCTTACGCTTCTTTGCTTTTAGGCACAACTTCTGCTTCTTCACACATTTTCTCCTTTTCTGTGGAATTTCCTTTTGCGTATAATCCTGGGTGTCCTGTAACTCGCCCAAGACCCAGTGCTTTGGGAGCAGCTTAGGCAGCGTTTTACCTACCAAAACCCCAAATTTTCTCCAGACAGATAATTGGCAAATGTAGCCAATTAGCCTGTAAATTAACAGCAGTGGAGGAAGCAAGGTGGGCACGTGCTTGGGCTCACTTCATAGTTGAGCGCATCTCTGAGAGCGTCCCCAAGTGCTCCTTGAAGCTGGAACTTAAGAAAGAAGCCAAAGAAAAATTAAAAATTGCTTCACGGATTGGTGTATTACGGGCAGTATTTGCTGTGTTTTGGCACAAGGTATATTTAGGGGGTGTGCGTGAAGCTTTCTTCACGTTTTGAGGTGACAGACTCTGTCTGGTTGGAGGCGCATCTAAATCAGCGCTCGTTTCGGCGAGATGGAGCGTATGTTTTAGCACTTGATACTTGCTGGAGTCATCTTTAAATTGAATGATCTTACAATTCTGGAGGACAGCACTATATCATACTAGATAGTTTGCACTTCAAGATTAAAAAAAAAAACAAATCCTCTAAAAAGGAGTTAATTTAGAAAAGCCACCCCGAATGCATATGATTATATTCACATGGAATTTTGTTGTCCATACCAGAAAACAGTATGTTTTCAGGTTACTGTACTGTATATTTTTCTTATTCTTGGACTGCTCCTTGCATGAAATGCCTCATCCTGCTCTTCTCTGTAGCTGTTCCTTTCCTCCTCAGTAACGGGAGTTGCTCTCTTCTAACAAAAAGTGCTCATAAGCATATGTCTTTTTAAATGTGTCCATTTAAATTAATATTTAACAGAGCAAAGATACCTGTATGTAATAATGTATCCGCTTATGGCTAATCATTATTTGATGTGATGTAGCCTTTTTTGTACTTAACTTTTTTTGGTGCCTTTTATCCACCAGGTTATTTTGTAGGATGACAGCATAAGAGTTCATTTACATTTGAAAGTAGACTATTTTTTTTTTTTTTTTGAGCACTTCTGTACTTTCAGGTACTTACAGTGTGGAAGGACGTCTTATCCCAAACTACATCCCCATTCCTGTTCCAGTTTAAGGTGGAGTTACACTAATCCATTTGCACCCACCTGTACAATATTTACTTTAAAGGCTTTGGGGTGGTTACTTTACTCTGCTGGGATTGGTTTTTCCAGATTATTTCATTTATCTAGGAGTTAGGTGTCCACTCTGAGCTACTTGTCTTGGCTCCCTCTCACTTGATGGCCCTGTTACCTCAACGTGTCCTCTCCCGGTGATTCCGTCCCTCTGTTGACTCCAGCTTGGACTGGACGCCCACCTCACAGCTGAGCTTTGGTGGGATGATCTCTGCCATCCCATCACCAGAAGATGGTTTCTGAACGTCCTCTGGTGCCTTTGAAATGTCTTTCCTTAGGTTCTTAAGCCACGATGTCCCACTGAGCTGCAGCTGCAGCTGCAGCTGCAGCAGGACAGCGTTGGCCACGTGGCAGGGAAGCTGATGTGCTGATTCTCATGCAGCACCTTGTCCTGGGTATGAGCCATGTGGCCAGCAGTCCTTAGAAGGGATTTGTTTGTCAATATTTACTTTAATCAAAGCCATCTCCTGGCATCCTGCCTTTTCCAAAGGAGACCTTCACTAGCCACAGTAAGGGATTTAATTTTATTCTTCTGGACAGTGCCACCTCTACAAAAGCCATGGTTGCACACAGCCTTAGATACCTTGGGCTTTCCAGGGTTGAGAAGACATGTGGAAAGCTTTACAGGAGCACACCATAGTCTGGGGTGGGAGCCCTGGGAGGCTGCAGCCATACCCTGTGCCATTATTGCTGCCATCAGCTTGGATGGCCACCAGTAGAGCATGCTCAAAACCAGCTGATGGTCCAAGATGCCATCTCCAGTCATCCAGAAACCCCAGGAGAGCACCTTGTTGGAGTAGCCTTGCAGAGGGGGAGAAGGAAAAAAAAATAAAGTCCTTTTTTAGGGTGAAACCCTCTCGTCACTCCTGGAAAGATTTCATCAGTGGCTTGGTTCTTGTGGGTCTTCTCGTTTAAATGCTGTATTCTGTAGAGAGAGGTGGTCTCCATCACTGGGATGCCACACTGGAGGGGGTGGATCCCTCAAGGTGTCAGTTCTTGTAGGTCTCAAGCTTTATTTTAATTTTCATTTGACCATTTCAGCTTTAATTTATTCATAATGGATTGGTTCATGTTTAAGCATTGCTGTTTATTTATTTTCTTTTGTTTTGGTTTTTTATTTTAGGTCTGATTTTATGGGTGATGAGATGTGCCACCGCTTGGATCAGTATGTTTCATTGAATTTTGGGAAGGGCCGGATTTTTTTGTTATTCTTGGGTTGGGTTTTTGGAGTTGCTGTGATGATAAGTCAGGGTTGGCAGATCCAGGAGAGGCGTAGCTACGTATATAAATATGTATAATACTACATGTGCACAGAGCAAAGGAATCCATCCCAGGGCAGAAGAAGACCCGGAGGAGCTGCCGCAGTAGAGGGAAGGGGCAAGCGTTGGGTGAGGAGTTGTTCAGACTCAACTGATATCGAAGTGTGATGAAAACTAGTGGTGCCCACGTGGACTAAGTGCAGGTTCTTTTAGCGTAGAAGCTGACTTCCACCAAAAAAACCCTGGGATTTATTCCACCAGCAGTGCTGGGACAGCTGGAGATCACCTCAACCCCAGGTGCTATGGTAGGAACACCACAGGAGAAGAAGATCTCTTGTATTTAGAAGGTGAAGCTGAAGCAGCATCTTCTGGAAACGGCGCAATCTCACAACACTGAGGGTCCCAGACAGGGGGGAGTTTTGCCACTGGCTTTGGCATCGCTGGGACTTCACCCCTTGGCCAGAGAAAGCGTGGCTTTAATTTCCACCCACACCCACAACCACATCCTCTGCCTGAGCGCTCCCCATCTTCGGCCAGGACAACACCAGAGGGGTCATGAGCTGTGTTCGGGGCATTCAGAAGGAAAAAAGATATTAAAAAATAAAATTATATATATATGTGTCTAAAAATAAAAGCATCTGGAGATTTCTGGGCTTGTGTTAGATGTGATGGGATCTGGGTGATGACATCCTGACAGTAACCAAGTGGACAAACCTGTGTAAAGATGCTTTTCCTTCATTACCACCCCAACCATTCCTTTATAAAAGCCCATTCAAAATAACTCCGCTCTCCGGGATGCTCGACTTGCTCTGTTTTCAGCTGGCCACTGCTGATCCTTCTAAAAAAGTGAGGTTTTTAACTTCCAGAGTTCAGAAATCTCTGCGGAAGATGAAGGGAGTCAGAGGCATCGGCTTTGATCCCTTTCTGCCAGCATAGGATTATTCCGCGTCGCGCTGGTTTTGAAGTTCATGTTTAATCCGGTTTTACACGTCCCGGGGGACCGGGGCTTCTTACAACTTCTTCTGTGGAGCAGTTTTGTGTGGCGTAGCCTCTGATTTAGAGCTCCAATTTGCATTTCCATCGCTGCATCCCATTTCATCCCGTGCCACGTGCATTAACGTCGCTGCTTCGTGACAAGACGGCTTTCAAAGGCTATTTTATATGCTCACTACACACCTGGTCAAACTATATATATATTTATTTGAACCCCAGTCTTGGAAAACAGCTGCACGTGACTTGTCTGTAGGTTTTCCAACATATTTACCTACAAAAAAGGGTTTATAGTAGTGTCCAGCGTGGATCGCAGTGCACGAAAACAAACGGGTGTGAAACAAGATGAAAAGAGCCACATGCACAGAAATCTCACCCATCGAAGCAAAGAGGAGGGTCATGTAACTCTTTTCCAGCAGGTTTAACTGGTCAGTCCTGAGGTTTGGTGTTTTTTATTTTAAAGCACATGGTTTTACACATGGTGAGTTTGCAAAACCCTAAGTTTTCTTTACAATAAATGTGTATTTTCAGGCTTAACAATAAAACTACTTCTCTGTCGTCCTTTGAAGTGCCTTTTTGCAGGCACGGGGTGCTGGCAGCACCCTAGGAATGTTTTCTGGGGACACACACACCGGGCAGGGCGGTACCAGAGCAGCTGAGCATTTAAGCAGATGGTCTATTTTAAGTACATAATGGACGCATTTAAAAATGGCACCGCGTTTTGTTCAGACCCATCTTAGGTGAGCACCTGGACCAGTCCTGGGGACGTTTCAGGAATCACCTTCTGGCATAAAAAGTACTGGAGAGGTCAGAAAAAAAAATGGTATATACAGCAAAAATGTGTTTTGTGGGTCAAGAGTTAAAGTTTCTGAGTTGCTAAGGGTATCTGTATTTTAGCGCGAAGGCCGAGAGATCAAGGACCTGAATCCTCATCCCTGTTCCCACCCTGTGCCTTCGCCCTTCACACACACCTGGTGGTATTATCTCATTTTTCCTAAAGAGTGCAGACAGCAAGGAAAAATATCCTGCAAAATTTCTGGAAAGGAGACAGGGCAAAGCAGAAAGACAATAAAGGATGAATACAATAGATATAAGCTAAATATTACACTGTGTACACGGAGATGGATTATTATTTTTTTTTCAGATCATCTAGAGGACTAACAATATTACAGTAAATTGGTGTGTGTAGACGCTTGGGAATGTACGTGCGTTGTTGCAGGGAATATTCTTGCTTTTCCAAGACAAGTTGCTTGGATAAGTCCATGTTATCACCCTTTTCTTCACCGGCAATAGCTCCCTTTTGGGGTAGAACACAAATCTGCCCTGATGGTGTTTAATGAACCATCCACCTCCCCCAAAGCTGGTCTAGGCAGAGAAATGCTGTTAATCCTGACACCAGGAACCAGGGTATTCAGGGATGTTGCATCACCCATGTAGAAAAGTAGACTGGAGTACTTGGGAGCACTGGGTCCAGTTCTGGGCTCCCCAGTTCCAGAAGGACAGGGAACTGCTGGAGAGGGGACAGCAGAGGGGTACAAAGATGATGAGGGGCCTGGAACATCTCTCTTATGAGAAGAGGCTGAGGGACTTGGGTCTTTTTAGTCTGGAGAAGAGAAGGCTGAGGGGGGATCTGATCAACGCCTATAAATACTTCAAGGGTGGGTGTCAGGAGGATGGGGCCAGACTTTTTTCAGTGGTGCCCAGGGACAGGACAAGAGGAAATGGGCATAAACTTGAATGTAAGAAGTTCCACCTCATCATGAGGAGGAACTTCTTTCCTGTGAGGTTGGCAGAGCCCTGGAAGAGGCTGCCCAGAGAGGTGGTGGAGTCTCCTTCTCTGGAGACATTCAAACCCCACCTGGACACGTTCCTGTGCAACCTGCTCTGGGTGGACCTGCTCTGGCAGGGGGTTGGACTAGATGATCTCCAGAGGTCCCTTCCAACCCCATGTGATTCTCTGATTCTGTGAAAAGGTGGATTTGGAAATGTCCTCTTCTGTTCTAACAGGGCTTTGAGCAGCCCATCCAATGCTCCTGCCACCAAGGGAAAAAACTAAGAAAAAAAGCTTCTATAAAAAACTTACATCTTTTTAAGTAAATTGGAGATGGAAAGTTGCAAGGTTCTGGGTGTGATTTATCTCTTCTCCCTTGGAAATGGCATTTCTGGAAGATGGTGGCGGGTGCTGCTTTACCCAGACTCTTCCTTCGCAGCCTGGTCTGAATCCCACAGAAGGTCTTCAAGACATCTGTCGGATGCCCTACTTTATTTAAAATGTTTGGGCTATTTATTTATGTATTTTTTTGTTTCGTTCTCATCGCTATAGTAAAATTGTTTTTACGGCCCTTTGGGTATTACCTGCTTTTATAATCTTTCTATAATTAAATTTACAAATCCGCTTTTGAGCTGGTGATGTATAAAACCTTGCAAACGGGATCCTTTGTGCGTTAACCTATATTTATGTTACTTTTATTCCTTCTGGCAGTAATTATCCTGGCTCCAGGCCTAGGATTAATCCATAAGATGCTGAACATGCTTGATTTCCACTCCCCCCCCTCTTTCTCTGTGGCAAACTCTCTCATCTTATGGAGATCAGAGCAGGGCGTTTTTAAAAACCACTTCCTCTGAAGCAGTTTAACTGTTACCCCTCTTCAGGCGTTCGCAGGAGGAGCCGTAGCAAAGGTTAATTGATCCTGTGCCATGGATACGGAAAGGAGAAATGATTCAGCCTCCGTCACGGGGAAGGATTTACAGGAGATGCTGGGCTGTTTCCGAGCCCAATGACGCAGCTTTCGCCGCGCGGCCAAGGGACCGTCACCCACCCCTGCTCGGTGGGACGTTGGGGGGTCAAGCAGGTGACACGCTGGAGGGAAGGGATGCCATCCAGAGGGATCTAGGACCTGTTGGAGCGGGGCCAGAGGAGGCCCCGGAGATGCTGGGAGGGCTGGAGCCCCTCTGCTGGGAGGACAGGGTGAGAGAGTTGGAGGAGAGAAGGCTCTTTGGAGACCTTGGAGCCCCTTCCAGTCCCTCAACGGGCTCCAGGAAAGCTGGGAAGGAACTTTTTGCATGGTCATGTAATGTTAAGATGAGGACTAATGAGCATGGTCATGTAATGTTAAGATGAGGACTAGTGACTTTAAACTCGAAGAGGGGACATTTAGATTACGTATTAGGAAGAAATCACTTTAAACTCAAAGAGGGGAGATTTAGATTGTATATTAGGAAGAAATCAGTGGTGTGACTCTGTCCCAGGTTGCCCAGAGAAGCTGTGGCTGCCTCAACTCTGGAGGCATAGAGAAGCTGTGGCTGCCCCAACTCTGGAGGCGTTCAAGGTCAGGTTGGACGGGGCGTTGAACAACTTGGTCTGGTGGGAGGTGTCCCTGCCCAGGGCAAGGAGTTGGAACTTGATGATGTGGGCTGCTGGTGGGGCATCAGCATTTGGAGGTGCTCCTCGAAGCTGAGCTCTCTGTGGAGACAGGTCTCTTGGGCAACACCTGACCATCTCCAAACAGTGGTCAAGGTGGCCTCAACAAGTTTGTAGCATGGAGGTTCAGCCCCAGATCGATGCAGCATCGTACTCTTCACTGCTGTGTTGGGAGAGGTGCCACGTGCTGTAGCAAATGTTGCCCATCAGGATTTTTTTTCCTTAGCAGACCTTTCTGGAGTCATTGATTTGCAGCGTGTCTGAGCCAAATTTAAGCGTGGAGCCACACAGATCTGAATTTAGCCGTGCTGGCTGTTTTCCCTAGGAGGAGGGATCACGGGGATGGATCTGATTGCCTCGGAAAATTAGTGTTGATTTCAGTGAAGAATATTTTATTACAGTGTTTGCATTGGCATTCTCTTCATAGGATAATGGCTCCGAGTTTCCAGTGTTTCCTGTGCTTGTGTGTATTTAATGATTTAATCTACTCCTTCTGAATACTGGCTTGGAAAAAAAAATACAAAACAAAACAAAAAAAAAGAGGGAGAAAAAAAAGGCTGGCTGCCTACTCTTAATATCCCATCGTTAAATAAAATCACTAATCCCAAAGGTGGAGTTGCGATTGAAGAGAAAGAAAACCAGTCTTGGAAGGTATTAAAACTGAATAATATGCTTTAAAGTAGACACTGACCGTGGTGTTTACTTCAGTTATGGAAGAGAGTGAGGCTGTAGTGCTTTCGAAAATTGGGATGCTGTTATTTCCGTCCTTCAGCGTGGATTTAGAAATCTGGGGTGATGCTCACTGCTTTGAACCTGGTTGCTGCTGAGGGAGTGCTCAGTCTTTCCTCTGGCACATTTCGTGTGTTGGAGAGCCTGTGGTCACCTTCCCAGGGAAGAAAAGTTGAAAATTTTGCCTGTGTAAAGCCCTTTATAAGTTGAGGGTTTTTCCACGATTTTTGGGGTACGGGCACTAACAGCCTTTGGTATTTGCTTGTCCAGGTGTAGTTTTATGGGGCAGAAACACTGCAGTGCTGTCTGATATCTGCTCTACCATAGTCCCCAACATGAGCCCTAGTAATAACTGATGCTCTCCAGAGAGGTGCCGAAGCCTCGTTAGGCACCGGCAGGTAATGAAGGACGTGTCTGCAGCACCAGCCCCTGCAAGACACAGGTCCTACCTTTCCGTAATTTGCAGAAGCAATCTCAGAGTCACAGAATCACAGAATGGAAGGGGTTGGAAGGGACCTCTGGAGATCACCCAGTCCAACCCCCTGCCAGAGCAGGGTCACCCAGAGCAGGTTGCACAGGAATGTGTCCAGATGGGTTTGGAATATCTCCAGAGAAGGAGACTCCACACCCTCTGAGTGTGGAGTGACTCCACACTCTTCTGCTTTACCAACATGAAATAATGAGTTGACCAACTCAAGGTTCAGCTTCAAAGCCAGGTTGGACGGGGCTTTGAGCATCCTGGTCTGGTGGGAGGTGTCCTTGCCCATGGCAGGGGGTTGGAACTCGGTGATCTTTTAGGTCCCTTCCAACCCAAACCGTTGTATGATTTCATGATTCTATGATTCTATGACTGGGAAGAGAAATAGAGGGACCGACAGGAGGGGAGGGCTGAGCATCACTTGGAGGTTATTGCCTGTTTTGTGGAAGACCTGAGCCTTGATTCGTGGCATTGCCAGGCTGGTGGGGAATCCCATCTGGGCTTTACAGCAGCGTATTTCTGGACCAAGAGGCCACACTGTGTTGCCTCTGAGCATTGCCCTGAGCAGCTCCCCTTTACGAGAGGAGAAGGGTGGTTGAGAAGTGCAAGCAGAGGAGCCCAGGTGACCGATCGCTACCTCCTACTGACTTCAGAGTCTCTCCGTGGGCAGCAGAAGGGCTTCTTTATGGCGTTGTGTTTACCAAAGCTGCCTGGAGGAGGTTGTTTAAACAAGCAGTGTTTTGAACCGTGCTCTTGACATAATTTTTCTCCATCTGCACCCTTAAATACCAGCCTCTTCTCAGAACTGAATGGCTCTCGTGGTTACTCACATGCTTTTAAGGTGCAATCATTCCCTTCGTAAGCTCCTGTGCCATTCAGAGCTGCCTACTCCGACTTCTACAGCAAGACTCTGGTGTACACCAGACCTTATAT